AGAAACCCCGTGGAATTTCATAAGACACGCACCGTCCACCACTAGTATGGAGGGCGATGAGGTTATTGGCGCACCAAAGCATCCTGATTGGCTGCAAATGGTGCGCATCAAGGAAGGGGAGGTTCCCTGCATGATCGCCTACGTTTCGACTAGGTTATCCCGCTATCGTCCCGCTATGCGTCGCGACATCGTCGACCATCGCGACATCCTTGTCCTCTCCCTCTTCAGCGGGGGTGAGGTTCTTAATCTAATGAATGTCTATTCTGATGATCAACACACAGCCATCGAGCACCTCGCTGCTCGTGTGCATTCTCTGCCACCTTTCATCTACATGGCCGGTGACTTCAACTGCGTGTCGACGACTTGGGATGACTATGAGCATGGCGAGTCGTCGACAGCGATATCCTTGCGGGACACCGCATCTCAGATCGGCCTCGAGTGGGCGCGACCTTCCAACCATGGACCGACGAGGATCAGTCCTAATCCAAACCAGAGATCCAACGTGTTGGATCTTGTATTCTTAGCTCCATCTGAGATCTTAATCTCGATGCCCAGATTGGAGCACGAGCTCCAGGGTCCGTCAGATCATGTCCCGATCTGCACAGATCTTGATATCGGTCCCGAACTGCCCGGATCTGGGCGACGGACAATTAAACCTGGAAGCGAGGCTGAGAAGTCTTTCATTTCAGATATTCTCCGGGATCTTGCGGCTATTCCTGTCGCAGCCCCGGCAACCAAGGAAGGCGTTGAAGCTTTAGCTGATGCTATTGCGACCGCGTTCTCGGACGCATGGCTTGCCCATTCGACCGAGTCCAAACCTACCAAGCACTCCAAGTCCTGGTGGACAGAAGAGTGCTCGGAGACATTCGGAGTATATCAGTTGAGCCGTTTTGGCCAATGCTTGCCTTCGGGTGGGTCATTGGCCACGTATATTCAAGGAGTCGCTATCGGTTATCGTTCCAAAGCCGAACAAGCCCTCCTATTCTGTGCCGAAGGCCTTCAGGCCGATCGTACTCCTCATCACTTTTGGTAAACTTATCAAAAAGATGATTGCCAACAGGATACAGTTTGACGCTGTCAAGCATGATATCTTCCATCCCAACCAACTTGGCGGTATCTGCCAGAGGTCCACCGAGGATGCTGGATTGATTCTGACTCATCTCGTGCGAGCGGGGTGGGTTAAGGGTCTCCAGACTAGCCCGCTGGCTTTTGACATCACACAGTTCTTCCCTTCTATCAACCATGAAATGTTCATGGCTGTACTTCGCAAGCAAGGGTTCTCGCCGGTTCTGGTGGAGTTCTTTGCCTCTTATCTCATTGGTCGTTCCACAGTTTACTGCTGGAAGACCTTCCAATCCGACTCGCGGTCTGCGGACGTGGGTGTCAGGCAGGGCTCAGCTCTCTTGCCTGTTATCTCTGGGCTGTTCATTGCGCCGGTAATGAAGCTCTTCTACATCAAGGCGGCACCACTCAATACGACACTGCTTTCCTTTGTGGATGATGGGACCATTCTGGCCCAATCCAAACAACTTGATGATAATAATGTGGGCCTGCATAAGGCCTACAAGATTATCTACCTTCTCTTTGTTGCCTTCACGCTTGTTCTTGAACACGACAAGACCAAGCTGTTTCACTTTTCGCGTCGACGAGATGCCTATAATCCCTCGCTGGATTTGGGGTACGCCCCACATACCGGCGCTACACCTTTGAAGCCCAAGACCTATTGGAGGTACTTGGGCTTCTACTTTGACCGCGGGCTCACGTTTCATGAGCACGTTCGCTACTACACCACCAAGGCGTTTACCACCGTGCAGGCCATGCGCATGCTCGGGAACTCTACTAGAGGTCTCTCGCCTAAACAGCGCCGCCTCCTATATCGGTCGTGCGTGGTCCCCATTGCCACATACGGCTATCGTCTCTGGTATTTTGATGGCGCCCGTAATAAGGGCGCGATGAACCAATTGAAACGGATGCAGCGAAAAGCTGCTCTATGGATCACGGGTGCTTTCTGCACCTCCCCCACGGGCGGTCTTGAGGCTCTAGCGGGCCTCATTCCTGTCCACCTCATGCTGAAGAAGCTGGCAACGCATGCAGTGTATCGCGTAGCCACCCTCTCAGACACCCACCCTCTTCGCTCTGTGATGGGCGAGGGACTCCTCAAGCGAGCCGCACCACATGCTCGCTCAGCCGCCTTGATGACCCCAGCTATGCGAGGGAAAGTCAAGAGCACTGTCATGGAAGTGGACGAGCGCGTTCACACCTTAACTGAGAGCTTCGAGCCTTTTGCGCCCGAAGCTCGCCCAGGTGATCGGTTACTGGACCACTATGCGGACCGTCTCCATTTTGACGAGCGTGATCCTGGCCAGGATAGGCGTCCATATCTAGACGAGCTCATCGCGAGAGCGAGGGCTGACCCACTAACAGTACTGGCTGCAACTGATGGCTCTGTCCCTCAGTCCAACCAGTATCAGGCGGCTTCGGCTGCCATCATCTACAAGGGCCATCGTGAGCTCGAGAGGACTCGCTATGTCTCTGGCAGAGTCACCGCCCCAGATGCGGAACTCAATGCCATCTCGTGCGCAGTGCGCCTTGCTGTCAAGCAGGCAAACTGCCAACATATTATGGTCTTCACTGACTCTATGGGCTCAGCCCATAGAGCGGTTGACCCCGGCGTGCATTCTGGTCAGGCTTTTAGCCTGTCAGTATGTCGCGCTCTTCAAGAGTGGTTTGAGGCGGATGACCTCCGTCGCATTACCTTCGTTTACGTCCCTTCCGTCTGCGGTGGGATATCCATGGTGAAGCACACAAGTACGTCACCGAGCTCAAAGTCAGGGTTGGACGTCGCAAGACGGACAACTCCATAGACGCGCTACGCTCTCGAGCGGCGCACTCAGTCCTGGACTCGTGGAGTTCCACTTTCCAGGATCCAACCTACCGAGGCTCTGAATTTTTAGAGCTTCAACAGCCGGACGGGCGGCCGCTACAACCATCGTACCTCAATGGGGGACCTTGGCTCTCAACATTCGGACACAGTATTACTGAGTTCGCCCGCGTTTGCCGGTGTATAACTGGCCATGCGCCCATTGGAGCGTATTATCGTCGCTTCAAGATCAATGAGCCTCACGGCTGCACTTGCGGGGCTGCTTTGCAGTCCCGCCAGCACATTCGCTCTTATACTGTATTCCCCGTCTTGGGATATTGCATCGTTTATGAAGTACAACCCTACAGCGTTTGGCTTCAACCGGGACCCCTCGGGTGTCGGATAATCGTTGTGGGCGGGGTTGTTCCTCCTTTTGGGGGATTTATGGTGAACTGACACCACCGGGGCTCTAGGGGAGCCCGTTGCTATTTCTTTGCACTTGCGGCCGCTATTGTAGCGAGTTGCGGCGCCGCTAACTCTCTGCATCTGGTCTCGGGCAGGCGCTTCTCTGGCTGGTCGGCCTTAAGACACCCTGCCACCTCCCGGGTGGTGCTGTTCTTATCTCATTTGCGCTGCGTGGCCTCCGAACAGCGTCCGACGGCTTTGGGGTTTAGTGGGGCCTCGATGGTCTCCTCTCCTTATCCCGTGTCACTGTTTTTGCGAGGTGGGTCTGGCTTTGTGGGAGTTTCGGTGTTTGAGCCACAAGGCTCGTGGTTGGGACATCAGTAGTTTACTTAGTACCCAGGCCGCGTAGCGTACGTGTTTGTAGATAGCGAGCGGGCTGCCATCGAGCACCGCTATATAAATTGTTGATCAAAAATAATCAGTTGAGCCGTTCGCTTGCTGATTACAACAAGTTTAAGAAGGCGTGTAAGGACGCCAAGCGTGATTTCTTTGATGAACGCATTGCAGAAATTGCTACGTCTCGCAAGCGCCCATGGGACCTGATGGAATGGGTCAAACAGCGCAAGCTACCACCCTGTGAGGCTATTCGCAATGGCGACCAGCCTTGTCATGATATGGACGACCTCTGGGACGCCCTGCACGGCACATACAACTTGGCCTCTGGTCGCGAGTACGATGCCTCAGTCTTAGACGAGCTTCCCGACGAGCCGGTCCGTGAGTGGGCTGACTTCTCGGAGCATGAGTTGTTGAGTGCCCTTAAGGGGTGCTCCAACTCCTCTGCACCAGGACCGGACCATGTTACGTGGGTCCACCTAAAGGAGTTGCTCAAGGATAAACACGTCCTTGCGCTCTTCATCGTGCTGGCTAACGCTTGCCTTCGGGTGGGTCATTGGCCACGTATATTCAAGGAGTCGCTATCGGTTATCGTTCCGAAGCCGAACAAGCCCTCCTATGCTGTGCCAAAGGCTTTCCGGCCGATCGTACTCCTCATCACTTTCGGTAAACTTATCGAAAAGATGATTGCCAACAGGATACAGTTTGACGCAGTCAAGCATGATATCTTCCATCCCAACCAGCTAGGCGGTATTCGCCAGAGGTCAACTGAGGATGCTGGATTGATTCTGACTCATCTCGTGCGAGCGGGGTGGGTTAAGGGTCTCCAGACTAGTGCGCTGGCTTTTGACATCGCGCAGTTCTTCCCCTCCATCAACCATGAAATGTTCATGGCTGTTCTTCGCAAGCAAGGGTTTTCGCCGGTCTTGGTGGAATTCTTTGCCTCCTACCTTGTAGGCCGTTCCACAGTTTACTGTTGGAACACCTTCCAATCCGACTCACGGTCTGCGGACGTGGGTGTCGGGCAGGGCTCAGCTCTCTTGCCTGTTATCTCTGGGCTGTTCATTGCTCCGGTAATGAAGCTCTTCTACATCAAGGCGGCGCCGCTCAACATGACGCTGCTCTCCTTCGTGGATGATGGGACCATTCTGGCCCAATCCAAACAACTTGATGATAATAATGTGGGCCTGCGTAAGGCCTACAAAATTATCTACCTACTCTTTGTTGCTTTCGCGCTCGTTCTTGAACACGACAAGACCGAGCTGTTCCACTTTTCACGTCGATGAGACGCCTACAATCCCTTGCTGGATTTGGGGTATGCCCCAGATACTGGCACTACACCTTTGAAGCCCAAGACCTATTGGAGGTACTTGGGCTTCTACTTTGACCGCGGGCTTACATTTCAGGAGCACATTCGCTACTATGCCACCAAGGCGTTCACCACCGTGCAAGCCATGCGCATGCTTGGGAACTCTACTAGAGGTCTCTCGCCTAAACAGCGCCGCCTCCTATATCGGTCGTGCGTGGTCCCCATTGCCACATACGGCTATCGTCTCTGGTATTTCGACGGCGCCCGCAACAAGGGTGCGATGAACCAGCTGAAGTGGATGCAGCGAAAAGCTGCTCTATGGATCACTGGGTGCTTTCCGCACCTCACCTACAGGCGGTCTTGAGGCTCTAGCGGGCCTCATCCCTGTCCATCTTATGCTGAAGAAGTTGGCAACGCGTGCAGTGTATCGTGTCGCCACCCTCTCGGACACCCACCCTCTTCGCTCCATGTTGGGCGAGGGACTCCTCAAGCAAGCAGCACCACATGCTCACTCTGTTGCCTTGATGACCCCAGCGATGCGAGGGAAAGTGCTATGCGGTGGGATATCCATGGTGAAGCACACAAGTACGTCACCGAACTCAAAGTCAGGGTTGGGCGTCGCAAGACGGACAACTCCATAGACGCGCTTCGCTCTCGAGCTGCGCACTCAGTCCTGGATTCGTGGAGTTCCACTTTCCAGGATCCAACCTACCGAGGCTCCGAATTCTTAGAGCTTCAACAGCCTGACGGGCGGCCGCTACAACCATCGTACCTCAATGGGGGACCTTGGCTCTCAACCTTCGGACACAGTATTACTGAGTTCGCTCGCGTTTGCCGGTGCATAACTGGCCACGCGCCCATTGGAGCGTATTACCGTCGCTTCAAGATCAACGAGCCTCACGGCTGCACTTGCGGGGCTGCTTTGCAGTCCCGCCAGCATATCCTCTTTCGCTGTCGCGACAGATATTCTGTACACTATCCCTGTTTTCTCGGGGATATTGCATCGTTTATGAAGTACAACCCTACGGCGTTTGGCTTCAACCGGGACCCGTCGGGTGTCGGATAATCGTGGTGGGCGGGGTTGTTCCTCCTTTCGGGGGATTTATGGTGAATTGACACCACCGAGCTCTAGGGTTCGAAGACCTGTGCCTACCGCTATTTCTTCGCGCTTGCGGCCGCTATTGTAGCGGGTTGCGGCGCTGCTAATTTTCTGCGTCTGGTTTCGGGCAGGCGCTTCTCTGGCTTGTCGGCCTCAAGACACTCTGCCACCTCCCGGGTGGTGCTTTTCTTATCTCATTTGCGCTGCATGGCCTCCGAACAGCGATCGACGACTTTGGGGCGTAGCGGAACCTCGATGGTTTCCTCCCCTTATCCCGATGCACCGTTTTCGCGAGGTGGGTTGCCCTCTGGGGAGTTTCGGCGTTTGAGCCCAAAGGGTCTTGGTTGGGGGGGCGGTCGTCCTTTAGTGGTTTACTTAGTAACCAGGCTGCGTAGCGTACGTGTTTGTAGATAGCAAGCGGGCTGCCATCGAGCACCGCTATATAAATTGTTGATCAAAAAAAAAAAAAAAAAAAAAAAAAAAAAAAAAAAGATGCGAGGGAAAGTCAAGAGCACCGTCATGGAAGTGGACGAGCGCGTCCACACCTTAACTGAGAGTTTCGAGCCCTTTGCGCCCGAAGCTCGCCCAGGCGATCGGTTACTGGACCGCTATGCGGACCGTCTCCACTTTGACGAGCGCGATCCTACCCAGGATAGGCGTCCATACCTAGACGAGCTCATCACGAGAGCGAGGGCCAACCCTCTAACAGTACTGGCTGCAACTGATGGCTCTGTCCCTCAGTCCAACCAGTATCAGGCGGCTTCGGCTGCCATCATCTACAAGGGACATCGTGAGCTCGAGAGGACTCGCTATGTCTCTGGCAGAGTTACCACCCCAGATGCGGAACTCAATGCCATCTCGTGTGCAGTGCGCCTTGCTGTCAAGCAGGCAAATTGCCAACATATTATGGTCTTTACTGACTCTATGGGCTCGGCCCACAGAGCGGTTGACCCTGGCGTGCATGCTGGTCAGGCTTTTAGCCTGTCAGTTTGTCGCGTTCTTCAAGAGTGGTTTGAGGCGGATGATCTCCGCCGCATCACCTTTGTCTACGTTCCATCCGCTTGCGGTGGGATATCCATGGTGAGGCACACAAGTACGTCACCAAACTCAAAGTCAGGGTTGGACGTCGCAAGACGGACAACTCTATAGACACGCTACGCTCTCGAGCTGCGCACTCAGTCCTGGATTCGTGGAGCTCCACTTTCCAGGATCCAACCTACCGAGGCTCTGAGTTTTTAGAGCTTCAACAGCCTGACGGGCGGCTGCTACAACCATCGTACCTCAATGGGGGACCTTGGCTCTCAACATTCGGACACAGTATCACTGAGTTCGCCCGCGTTTGCCGGTGTATAACTGGCCACGCGCCCATTGGAGCGTATTATCATCGCTTCAAGATCAACGAGCCTCACGGCTGCACTTGCGGGGCTGCTTTGCAGTCCCGCCAGCATATCCTCTTTCGCTGTCACGATAGATATTCTGTACACTATCCCCGCTTTCTCGGGGATATTGCATCGTTTATGAAGTACAACCCCACGGCGTTTGGCTTCAACCGGGACCCCTCGGGTGTCGGATAATCGCTGTGGGCGGGGTTGTTCCTCCTTTTGGGGGATTTATGGTGAATTGACACCACCGAGCTCTAGGGTTCGAAGACCTGCGCCTACCGCTATTTCTTTGCACTTGCAGCCGCTTTTATAGCGGACTGCAGCGCCGCTAACTCTCTGCATCTGGTTTCGGGCAGGCGCATCTCTGGCTTGTTGGCCTCAAGACACCCTGCCACCTCCCGGGTGGTGCTTTTCTTATTTCATTTGCGCTGCATGGCCTCCGAACAGCGTCCGACGGCTCTGGGGTTTAGCGGGGCCTCGATGGTCTCTTCCCCTTATCCCACGTCACCGTTTTCGCAAGGTGGGTCTGGCTTTATGGGAGTTTAGGTGTTTGAGCCATAAGGCTTGTGGTTGGGGGGGCGGACGTCTTTCAGTAGTTTACTTAGTACCCAGGCCAAGTAGTGTACGTGTTTGTAGATAGCGAGCGGGCTGCCATCGAGCACCGCTATATAAATTGTTGATCAAAAAAAAAAAAAAAAAAAAAAAAAAAGTCCCACAGGCGCTTGCGAGAGGTAGCGATTTCTGCAATACGTTCATTGAAGAAATCACGTTTGGCGTCCTTACACGCCTTCTTAAACTTGTTGTAATCAGCGAGCGAACGGCTCAACTGATATACTCCGAATGTCTCCGAGCACTCGTCTGTCCACCAGGACTTGGAGCGCTTGGTAGGTTTGGACTCGGTCAAATGGGCAAGCCAGGCGTCCGAGAACGCTGTCGCGATAGCATCAGCCAAAGCTTCGATGCCTTCCGTTGGAAAAGTGACCAGACAGGGGATTGAACCCTGGACCATCTGGATATATACCAGCAGCTCTAACCTTTTTCTTTTTGTTTTTTTTTGATCAACAATTTATATAGCGGTGCTCGATGGCAGCCCGCTCGCTATCTACAAACACGTACACTACTTGGCCTGGGTACTAAGTAAACTACTGAAAGACGTCCGCCCCCCCAACCACAAGCCTTATGGCTCAAACACCTAAACTCCCATAAAGCCAGACCCACCTTGCGAAAACGGTGACGTGGGATAAGGGGAAGAGACCATCGAGGCCCCGCTAAACCCCAGAGCCGTCGGACGCTGTTCGGAGGCCATGCAGCGCAAATGAAATAAGAAAAGCACCACCCGGGAGGTGGCAGGGTGTCTTGAGGCCAACAAGCCAGAGATGCGCCTGCCCGAAACCAGATGCAGAGAGTTAGCGGCGCCGCAGTCCGCTATAAAAGCGGCTGCAAGTGCAAAGAAATAGCGGTAGGCGCAGGTCTTCGAACCCTAGAGCTTGGTGGTGTCAATTCACCATAAATCCCCCAAAAGGAGGAACAACCCCGCCCACAGCGATTATCCGACCCCCGAAGGGTCCCGGTTGAAGCCAAACGCCGTAGGGTTGTACTTCATAAAAGCTGCAATGTCCCCAAGAAATCGGGGGTAATGCACAGAGTAGCGATCGCGACAGCGAAAGAGAATATGCTGGCGAGACTGCAGAGCAGCCCCGCAAGTGCAGCCATGAGGCTCATTGATCTTGAAGCGTCGGTAGTACGCTCCAATGGGCGCGTGGCCAGTTATGCACTGGCAGACGCGAGCGAACTCAGTGATACTGTGTCCAAAGGTTGAAAGCCAAGGTCCCCCATTGAGGTACGATGGCTGTAGCGGCCGCCCGTCCGGCTGTTGAAGCTCTAAAAATTCAGAGCCTCGGTAGGTTGGATCCTGGAAAGTGGAACTCCACGAATCCAGGACTGAGTGCGCAGCTCGAGAGCGTAGCGTGTCTATAGAGTTGTCCGTCTTTTGATGTCCAACCCTGACTTTGAGTTCGGTGACTTACTTATGTGCCTCACCATGGATGTCCCACCGCAAAGCAGATGGGACGTAGACAAAGGTAACGCAGCGGAGATCATCCGTCTCAAACCACTCTTGGAGAACGCGACAAACTGACAAGCTAAAAGCCTGACCAGAGTGCACACCGGGGTCGACCGCTCTATGGGCCGAGCCCATAGAGTCAGTAAAGACCATAATATGTTGGCAATTTGCCTGCTTGACAGCAAGGCGCACTGCACACGAGATGGCATTGAGTTCCGCATCTGGGGTGGTAACTCTGCCAGAGACATAGCGAGTCCTCTCGAGCTCACGATGTCCCTTGTAGATGATGGCAGCCGAAGCTGCCTGATACTGGTTGGACTGAGGGACAGAGCCATCAGTTGCAGCCAGTACTGTTAGTGGGTCGGCCCTCGCTCTCGCGATGAGCTCGTCTAGATATGGGCGCCTATCCTGGCCAGGATCACGCTCGTCAAAATGGAGACAGTCCGCATAGCGGTCCAGTAACCGATTGCCTCCTGGGGCGGTTCCTAGGAGACATCGTGGGGGGACTCGGGCTCCGCACCACCAGCAATACCACCATCGGTCGCTGGCTCATCGTCCTTTGGCGGTGATGCCTCGCCAATCTTGCCAGACCCTACCTCGACTAGGGCCACATACTCAACCTTTGTGCTGTCTCGATCTCACCACACATCGTCTCGCTGCAGGTCCCGTTCCACCACGGGTTCTGCCCATTCGTCTGGTTACGAGTCTGACTCGAGGACGGCCCAACCACAGCAGAAGATGGAGGTGGAGGGCAGTCAGGGAGGGGAGGAGGTCTCGAGGGACCCTCCGTCGACCTTCTCTTAGGTCAATACGCCTTGAAGTTCCGAGACACAGTCGAGGATCTTCCTGGCGATCTCAAGGTATTGACCACCTCCATTGTGAAGGCCACAGACTGGGTTCTGTGGGCCGTGCATCACAACCCGCTCACCATTGATGGGGGCGATGCCTTCATGGCTCAGATGACGTCCTTCGTGAACGCTGTCATGGCCACTGACTTTAGTCGTATTCGCGGACCAGGCGAACTCGACAACTTCTCGCTCGCCTCTCTTCTCGAGGCCGAGACGTCTTCTAAGGACGAGCCGACTATCCACCCGGCTCCCGTATTCAAGCCTCCTCCTCCTGGGGCCCATGGGCCGCTCGATGAGGGTGTTGCTGGCGTTGGGGCTCCACCTTACGTCCTCATGCAGGCATTGGATGACCTTGGTCGCCCAGCCTCCCCATCTTGCATCCCCGCTTCCAAGAAGCGTAAGGGTGTTGATTGTCTGGTCCCACCTCCTCCTCAGAAGAAGAGCAAGGTGGCCTACTCTTGCCCTGGTCCGCCTCCGCCGATCAATCGCGCCACTAAACCCAAGCCCCGTCCAACGACGTGGGCAGGGATTGCTAAACAGGCCGCTCCGATGCCTCCCCCGCCTCCTGGCTTGGGACCGCAACGTCGCAGGCCTTCTCCTCCCCCTGTATTCCCGACGGGCCCGATGAAGACATCTCCTCATCGGTCTGTCCCTTCTTTCACTTCCGAGGGCCCCACCTGGAAGCAGGTTCTCGTGTCGTTCGGGGGTACCCCCCCCGACCTCACGAAGTTCTTCACCGAGTCGGCTGTTCGTGCAGCCAACGGATATCTCAGGGATGGTCGATCTATGTTGAAGGTCACCTCCATCGTCCGGGCCTACGACAGTTTGTCGTTGGTCACCCCCGCTGTTGCCAGTCCGTCCGATCTGGACATCCTGCGTAACTTTATCCGCGAAAGCCTCCCAACGGGTACCCCGTTCGAGGTTGCGCTCCCGTCGTCGACATCTTTCATAAAGATACTCGATGTTCCTTACTTCAATCCGAAAGGGTTGAAGATCACCTGTCAGTTTGTCGCGTTCTTAAAGAGTGGTTTGAGGCGGACGATCTCCGTCGCGTAACCTTCGTGTACGTCCCTTCTGCTCTGCGGTGGGACATCCATGGTGAGGCACACAAGTACGTCACAGAGCTTAAAGTCAGGGTTGGACGTCGTAAGACGGACAACTCCATAGACACGCTACGTTCTCGAGCGGCGCACTCAGTCTTGGATTCGTGGAGTTCCACTTTCCAAGATCCAACCTACCGAGGCTCTGAATTTTTAGAGCTTCAACAGCCTGACGGGCGGCCGCTACAGCCATCGTACCTCAATGGGGGACCTTGGCTCTCAACCTTTGGACACAGTATCACTGAGTTCGCTCGCGTTTGCCGGTGCATAACTGGCCACGCGCCCATTGGAGCGTATTACCGTCGCTTCAAGATCAACGAGCCTCATGGCTGCACTTGCGGGGCTGCTTTGCAGTCCCGCCAGCATATCCTCTTTCGCTGTCGCGACAGATATTCTGTACACTATCCCCGCTTTCTCGGGGATATTGCATCGTTTATGAAGTACAACCCCACGGCGTTTGGCTTCAACCGGGACCCCTCGGGTGTCGGATAATCGTTGTGGGCAGGGTTGTTCCTCCTTTTGGGGGATTTATGGTGAATTGACACCACCGAGCCCTAGGGTTCGAAGACCTGTGCCTACCGCTATTTCTTTGCGCTTGCGGCCGCTATTGTAGCGGGTTGCGGCGCCGCTAATTCTCTGCGTCTGGTTTCGGGCAGGCGCTTCTCTGGCTGGTCGGCCTTAAGACACCATGCCACCTCCCGGGTGGTGCCCTTCTTATCTCATTTGCGCTGCATGGCCTCCGAACAGCGATCGATGACTTTGGGGCGTAGCGGAACCTCGATGGTTTCCTCCCCTTATCCCGATGCACCGTTTTCGCGAGGTGGGTTGCCCTCTGGGGAGTTTCGGCGTTTGAGCCCAAAGGGTCTTGGTTGGGGGGGCGGTCGTCCTTTAGTGGTTAACTTAGTAACCAGGCTGCGTAGCGTACGTGTTTGTAGATAGCAAGCGGGCTGCCATCGAGCACCGCTATATAAATTGTTGATTTAAAAAAAAAAAAAACCACTATCAGGAAGATCACCCAGGAGGCGCTTGAAAAGGCCCTCCGTACCTCGGTTCATGCTGAGGTCTTTGCCTATCTGAGCACCAAGCCTCGGATCGACCGCAACTCGGCGCACTCGACATCATGCACCGTGTATTGCAACATCTGGGACTCCCAGCAGGGAACCCGTGCCAAGAAGGCCTTAGGCCAACCGATCTTCCTCGCTGGATGGTCCTGCGCAATCAGGCTCGCCGCACGACACACCGGGGTTCTGCTGTGCCAGCGCTGCTGGAAGTGAGGCCACCCCACCGTCGCCTGTCGAAACAACTCTTCTGCCCTATCTGTTCGGGTCCGCACGAGCAGAAGGAGCACCGTCAACATGCAGGATGTTGCAAAGGCAACGCGAAAGCGAAGCCTCCTGTGCCGCCCACCCCGCGCGACCAGCCTTGCCCCCACAAGGGCCGCTGTGTCAACTGCCACAAGGACCACACCACCAACTCGGCTTTGTGTAAGTTCTGGGCCCATCGCTACGACCGTGAGTGGATCATGGCCAAGTATCGTCAGGTACATGAGCACGCTGCTCGCCGCCAACTTACTAACCCCCGAACCTAGACTAATGTTGGGAAACCTTCAGGATCTAAGTAGTGGGCTTTGTATTTACTGTCAGAACGTTCGTCATACCTATGCACATGTAGACACTCTTCTCGAAATTTGTAAAAACAGATTTGATATTTTATTTTTCCAA